TACGTGTACGAGCGCGAAATTTCACATGCACTATTTTCACCAGTCGCTTAGCTGGAGGAGGGCAAGAGATTGTCGCCTCATCGCACAGGCTCCATAGGAAATGAATGGAGAGAGAGCGACGTCGCCTCCCATGTGTCGAGCCCTTTAGACACGCCCACCATTGTGACACGCCCACTCCTGTGACACGCCCACTCTTGTGACACGCCCACTCTTGCGACACGCCCACTCTTGTGACACGCCCACTGTGATCCTGCTGATAAGCCCTTGTCCATGTGTTACTGAGTGTTTAATCGATGACAGATATTTGTGTGTCTACACTCTGAGCCTGTAACACACCTGACAGGTGTTTTCAGACTCACATGAACACTGAGCTTCAGCTGAAGGAGGTCTGACTGAATGAGTCGTTTTGATCAAAACACTGAAAGTTTTAATGTTTGAAGTTTAAACAGTTTTACAGACGTTTACCTCTGAAAACATCTTTTCTCCCAAAATAATGAGTTTTTTTTGAAGTGTCAGAGAAACAGAAAACCCAGAAGTGAAAAAAACAAAATGAAAGTTTCTTGTTGATGGGTCTCAGGGGGTCTCAGAACCGGGCCGGTCCTGGTGGCTGACCTCAGGTGATCCAGGAGGCAGCAGAGAGCTGCAGTCTGGCCCCGCCTGCAGGGGTCAAAGGTCAGAGTTTCACTGCAGCTTTAAGAAGAACCTCTGGTTCTGGTTCTGGTTCTGCTCTCTTACCGCCATCGGGGAGTAATTCTTGCGGCGCTTCAGGATCTTTCCGGACAGAACGCAGACGGTGACGGACACGCAGACCTGCAGGACCAGCAGAACCAGGAAGAGGCCCTGGAGTCCGTACAGAACCACCTGAAGACAAAGAGGAACCGTTAAAGTTCTGGTTCTGAGCTCAGGGAGACGGACTCTCTGTCCTGGTCCTGACAGAACCAAAACATTCAATGTGTGGGTGAAAGAACTGGATCTACAGGGTCTGACAGGTCCAGGGTCTGGATCAGGATCAGGATCCAGGTTTTTCACTCAGATCTTCAGGAGCAGAGAGGGAACTGGACTTACGTTGATCCGGAACAGCAGCTCGGGACACCTGGACCTGATCGGGGCGGGGTACCGGCGTCTGGGTCTGTTCCACCAGAAGGTGGTGGGGGCAGGGCTAGTGGTGGGGG